TTACACATTCATTTTCATTTTATTGTTTATGATTTAAAATGTCAATGTTTGTTTAGTAATCGATGACTGTAAAATATCTGTCAGTATTTTACAACCGTCATCATTAATGATATCAACAATCACATTGTTGTCATCAGGTGCCATCATTTTATTTTAATCAAATGCATATCCTATTTTTTTTCAATAAAAAGGTACTGAACGAAAAGTGGTTTACCAAAAGATAGAGCTTTTTCTCCTCTTTCAAATCATATATAATTTGTTTCTGTCAGACGTTTATATACGAAAGCACACAACAGAAAAGAGAAGGACGTTTAAAAAGAATCCGCACTTTTGATGAGATTCAGAAAAACGACGCAAAATATTGTTTCCTATAACTCTTCAATAGACACGTTTTGAAATGAATATTTTTTTATCAGTTGATATGAAGCTTTCTCCTCTTTCGAACAGTGTAGGATTTATATACGTCGCATATACGCAAATGACATGAAACAAAAGAAAAAGGAAAACATTTGCAAAAAGGTTTATAACTTTTATATGAACTCTTCAAACACGTCTTGTTAGACGATAATTAATGCGATCTGTGTGGACATATTAAAAGTTCTTGTCACAAAGTGCTTACTTTGACTTGTATGAGCTCTTTGAAAACATCTTGTAAAATGACAGTTAATTGTAATTAACTGTGGTCTACAAGATATTTTTAATGAATTCATATAAAAGTTATAAAATTATTGTACACGGCTTTCTTGTGTTTCTCGTCTCGTTTCAATTACCAATAAGTGACAAATATGAATCATACACTGTTTGAAAGAGAAGAAAGTTTCTTATTAACTGATAAAAAAATATTCATTTCACAACGTGTCTGCCGAAGAGTGAAAGGAAGCAACATTTTGTGTCGTTTTTCTGAATCTCATCAAAAGTGCGGATTCTTTTTAAACGTGCTTCTCTTTTCTATTGTGTCGTTTAGTATATAAACGTCTGACAAAAATAAATTATATATGATTTGAAAGATGAAAAATAGCTCTAACTCTTGACAAAACACTTTTCGTTCAGTATCCTTCTATTGAAGAAAAATAGGGTCCGACATTTGTTCTAGTACTTTTGCATCATCATGAATTATTATGATTTTCATTGTTCAACATAAGAGCCATTGTATCCCGAAGATATACACTGATATCAGGTAGAACAGATAAATTGATTCAAGATTTTAATTAGAATAATAAACAAAGTAAACTTTCCATTTTGTTGCTAAAATCAATTCAAAATCAAATTAGACAACTGCAAGTGTTTATTGAATATCTTTCTGGGCAATATTCATAATGGTAATAACAAAAAGCTTTTACTCTTATGTGCGTAAATGAAGATAACTTGAGAAACTTTAAAGAATTAATGCATACAATTGATAGAACAAAAATAATATGTCTATCGTCTAGAATCAAAGACAAAAAAAAAGCAGATTATATATTATTCTTATTTATTAATAATAGAACTATTGAGAGTGGGGATGTGAGTATGAGTATTGTTGAAGAGAATACTAGAACTGACACACTCAGACCCTGCTAAACAACTTTGATTTCTTCACTTATGAAGCACTCTTTGACAATCATTGATATATATGTATGAAAGCAGTCAATGAGAAATTTATTCGAAATTTTCTTCTTTTTTTGTTCAATCATTGGATTGAAATTTTTACAATTTTAGCTAATAATAAACTAAAGATTCATAATATAAAATGATTCTAGTTGATCAAGAAATCATTATGTCGCAAATAAACAACAAATAAAAATGATTTTTATGTGAAGAGTAGACATTCATAAGAGGATTTGTGTTCATGAAAAATAATGGCAAAAACATTTAGAATTCAATCAAAACAATACAAATATGTTACTATAATATCGAACAATGCTAATTTGATAAAATTAATATTTGTTCGATTCACTTCTGTCTTGACAAAAACGATGTATATTAAGAAAAACTATTGTAATTGTAAATTTCCGTTAATGACTTTCGACAATACATAAATACCGAATGTGCTAAAATGTTTGAAAGATTTTTTTTATTTTGTGTATATCTCAGCATAATAAAATCATGAAACCTTAAATTTTTCTGTACGATGTGTCGTAAAAAGCTCTACAAGTGCAAGTATAAATTGTTATTACTTTGTTTTGATGATTTTTCCCATATTCAAAATGAACAACTTACAATATAGTGAAACTTTCCACCGTATCCCGTATAATAAACAATATTTCGTATATTATTTTTATTTAGTCATTCGGATTTGTTTGTACATATTTTGCAGGGCCTTCCATGAATCTTTTTAAGACAGAAATGATTCGAACTTTATGGCAAAGTTTGAATTCATCGTACGTAAGAAAAAAATAAGCCCCTTTGTCAGAAGCAAAGAAATAATTGAAGCATTCGACTCAAACCGAAGATTTTACAAAGGAAAATTTTTTAGAGAAAACATCTAACTACAATTTTTACCTAGAGCTGTTCAGTAGTATAGGAATATATTTGTATTGTTTCAATTGAATGTGAAGTATTTTTTGCCATTACTTTTCCGTCCACATAAAAATCATTTCTATTTGTTATTTATTCGAGACATAATGAGTTCTGCATCATCTACTTTATCGAATGCATAGTTATTTCTCATTACTCTACGATTTATTTGTATTTTTTGAATAAAAAAAAATTGTATACCTATGTGAATAATTAATGATCAATATCAATCATAAATTATCAGCATGAAAGATGATTCGCATCTGAATTGCTTTCAAGATAATATTTATGAAAAAAATAAATGATTAACATCATAAATTACTGATATGAAATATATTATTTCTTTCTATGAATGTATCATGTCAAGTTTTAGAAAACCTTGCATATTCTCACGCCAAAATAATGCATGCGAGTGTTTGCAAGAATAAGAGTTATGTATAGTATTGTCAAGCACACGTCTATGCATGTGCAACTGTTGTGTATTGATACTTGACAATTGTTAAGAACTTACATAGTTTGCATGTTAGCGCATGAAATGTTCCGACTAGAAAAATATCTTGCAATTGAACACGAGTTTTTAAATTTTGTTGTCTAAAAAATGTTATGAAAAATAATATTATTTAACATATTTGATAATTTTCATAATACATAGAACAGAATGGTATTCAAGTAATACTGAAAAAATATCTTGCTTAGACAAACAAAAATCCGATATTTCTCTTATAGATCAACAGAATTAAATGGATTTAAAAAAAAGCAAAACAAAAATTTTCTCTTTATTTATGACAAAGATTAATATATCATGTCACTGTAGCGAATCAATGCCTTTCGATGACAACTATGAAAGATAATCTATCAGCACACATCGACAACTGTATCATGTAAAGTTTTTGTTTTCTTCAAATCATTTATGCATTAGTTAAAGTAGGTTTTCAGAGTGATAGTTAATCAATGGTTGATGACTTGATTTTAAGTATTTTCTTATAATTTAAACCTGTAGATAGAATTTGGTTGTTAAAAGAAGACGATTCCGTATATTTAGAAGATGAAGTCTACAATAGTAATTACAAAAAAAGCGACGTTTTCCGATTTTTTCAGATTATTTCTATTTTTTTAAAGTTTTGAATTACATTGATGATTTCTTTTTTTTTTTATTTAAAACTAACAGAAAATTAAAAAAGAATCAAATGTTTATCCTCGAGTTTTTAATCAAAACACATAAGGTAATTATAAGAAAGTTGAATAAAACGTCCTCATATAAATAACTAACAGCTTCGGCAAAAGTTTTGCAATATTTCTTTTTCCAGGTAAGAACATGATAAAACATTAATCTTTTTTTTTTCAAAAGATGCGTTATTGAATATTCTAATCGGATCACAAGGTCAAATCTTAAGAGATAGTTTCTAAATTTTAATAGACTGCTAACAGTGAACAAGTGTATCGTCATGTTATTTCCTACAAAGAAAAATTAGACAAAGCCGAGCTTTGATAAATATTGTTCATTCATTTGAGCTACAATGTTCCAAACCTATATAAGATTTAGTGTGACCTTCGAAGTACGAGAATTATTACTTATCCTTATGTCAAATAAAAGTGAAAAATAATGTCTGTATCAATTGGTCTGAATGCTTCATCCTGAAATAAAACTTCTTTGTTTTTGCTGTTTTACTCTTCAATACATCGTTTAAAGACAGTGAGTTCGATGCACAAATCATCACAGTAGATTAAACTTTCTTCACATTGAAAGAAATATTGAAATAGAATTAAGCTTAACAAAATCATACAATGAGAACTTCTTTTGAAATAAAGATGATGAAAATAGATTATGAACAAATTAGTAGTAATCTTGTAGGAATAATTGGTAGAATGGTCACTGTTTTGTTTTACTACAATGTTTGGGACAGTTCATTTTATCTAACATTGATTTGATTAAAAATGAGTTTTGTTATCAATCACAAAGTGAATTTTCCAATTTTTCTTTGTGAGAAACAACACGATAACTAATATGTTTAGTATTGATGATCTATTAAATTTAGAAAATGACAGTAAAGACTTTTTCTTGTGATTCGATTAGAACATTCAAGAGTGGATTTTTTGAAAAAAAACACATCAATATTTTATAATGTTCTTGCATACACTTACATGCAAAACAAAAAATCTCACAAAACTTTTCGTACACCCGGCATAGCTACAATGATTGTATCCAGGTATACCTCATTTGGTTCTTTTTTCTCATGAAATCAAAGTTAAATCAACAAAAACATCATGATTATACGAATATCATAAAATTACAAGCAAAATTAAATGTGTATAAGGCCGTTTCTCTTCATTAACCAAGCATATTTTTCTCGCTTCTTGCAAAAGTATATATACATGTTGAGACATTATTTAATGAGTAGATTCGACTGCCGTAGTTACTAATTATGTATTTTTCGTAATAGACGTTTTTTAATATAAGCGTAAATTTCTAAATTTGGACTTCCATCATTATGACAACAGAAAATATGACTCCACTTTCATCGCCAATAATGGTTAACCAATTAAATTTATCTGCTATTCAGAACGATTCAATTGATGATAAACTTTCTTCAAATGATATTTGTGCTATGTTCGATGAATTTCTTGTTGAATTTGAACAAATGGAAAAAAGTGATGAAACGACAACAAATGTGTTTTTAGATGCTGTAGAAGAAATAACAGATGCTGTTCTAGGAGTTTTACCATATAAATTACTTGATCCAAAAGTTTTTTCTCATCCAATGGTGAATTTTCTACATCAAATACTTATTGATATATTAGGAAACTGGCAGACATCTCAAATACGTTTAAACATTCAAGAAACGGATATATTTTTTAAAATTGTACTTATTTTTGTTCATGCTGCTGAATACGCATCTACAGATAATGCCGATGCAGATCGACAAAAAATAAAAGATTTATTAGCAACAAGAAAATTTCTCAGTTTAGTACGTAGACAAATTGAGAATATTGCTATGCACAAATACGGTATTAATGATGATCCAAATATATGTATATTAGGTTTGTTAACAATAAATGTAATGCAAGGATGTCCATTCTATTATAGTATGGAACGAAATACATGCTTAATTGACGCTTGTAAGTTATTCTATAGATGTTTTTACATAACTCATAAGTCACTAGTAAGATTTTATATAATTTAGTAATATTGAATTGTATTGATTCATATGATTATATTCAAGCAGTACGTCAACTGCAATGTGGCGCGATACTTGCGGATATCGATCGTTTTCTTTTGTTTAAGTGTTGGGAATATATGCCAGTTGTTTCGCTATCTTCACAAAATTTGATGAACTCATTATATAAAACCAGTTTTATTTATAATATTTATGATAAACTTTTAATAATATTCGAACATGCTCTTGATCGACCACCACCTATTACATCTTCTGGTCTTTCTTATATTTTCGAACGATATCAACAACTGCTTAATGTTCCCACACTGCCTTCTTTCGATAAGCATGCACAGAATATTATTGATCGTTTAATCAAAATTCTAGAAAACCTATCATCAAATAACCTTAATGATGATACATTGATCATTGTTACTTTAGAAACATTCTATAATTTAACGAAAAATTCTGATATTCGTGCAATCATGAAAAAACGTCATTTAACATCTCTCTTCAAGAAATATACATCTATTGAAATGGGTAAAAAACGAAAGTTAGCATTTGATATTCTTGCAGAAATTATGGATGAACAAGAAATTAACAATGATCCAAGTGGAATAACTTCTATTTTTATTGATCAACTCAAACAACTTAATCCAAACGAAAATAATCCAGATCTTGATAATACATTATCAAGTCTCCAAGGTATGATACTCTGAGAAAAATAAAATAGATTGTGAAATTTTAATTATTCTTTATTATTTAGAAAAGATTATTGAGTTTAGAAACCGTTTTTTTTTTAACGTTTATTTCTTTATAGCATTGATACAACATGAGCAGATAAAAAACGAATTTATTAAACAAGGTGGTCTCGACATACTCATTACTTTTATTCGTGATGGTGATCCAAGTAAACAATCTGATAAACAAGTAGAAGATGTTCTCAAAATACTTTGGTCATGTACATTCAGCAATCCTGAAGCATTGGACAAACTAAAACAAGATCAAAATTTGATGACTCGTGTCAAGGATATACTTGAAAAATCAAAACAAGATGGAAATAGCACATTAGAGAAAGCAGCTGAAGGTCTCATTTGGAAAGTCGAAAAAGAAGAAAAATTTTTAGCAGAACAAGCTGCTGAAGACGAAAAGAAAAAAAAAGAGAAAAAACGAAAAGCTCAAGAATCTGGCATTGAGGAAGAAGAAGAAGAAGAAGAGGAAGAATTAAAGTATGATCTTATGATATCTTATTCATGGGCTGATATGGATTTAGCTCATCGTATCTTTAAACATTTAACTGAAAAACTTGGTTATAAAATTTGGCTTGATCAAGAACAAATGCATGGATCAACAATCCAAGCAATGGTTTGAAATTACTGATTATGTAAATTTAAAAAATGTTATTTATATTTTTCTGTTTATGTAGGCAAATGCAGTTGAAGGTGCTGAATTTATTCTAATGTGTATGTCTGAAACATATAAACGAAGCGCAAACTGTCAATCGGAAGCTGAATATTCATTTAATCGTAAAAAACATATAGTTCCAATTAAAATGAAAAAAGATTATGTACCAGATGGATGGTTAGGTTTTATATTAGGTACACGAATGTATATCGATTTTGGTACATACGATTTCGATAAAGCAATTCAATTACTTGATAATGAAATACAATTACAGAAAAAAAAACGTAGAGACGTTAAAGAAGCTGCTAAGTAAGATAAAATAGTAAAGATTTTCTTTAGTAAGAAATGTTAAGAATCATTTAGAATGCAAAGAAAAACTACGGTATCTAGTGAAAATAAGAATGATGTTAAAGAAAAAGTATCAAACAATCGAAATACAACAAATGTAAAAGCTAACAAAAATAATATTTTAAATTGGAAAGAAGACAATGTTCGAGATTTTTTAATGAAACATAATCTTTCAGCAATGGTATTCCTTTGTCAAGGAATTAATGGCGAAGAATTATGTAATCTTTACACAATGTGTAAGACAAATTCTATATCAATGTATCGTTCATTAAAATTTGAACTTCTACATTTTTGTAATAAAATATTACCAATATCTACTTATCTTCGGTTTATGAGTCGTATACGTGCTGTCTGTGATGATACATTGGTACCTAGTGGACATGCTATGAACAAATCTCATAAACATGATACATTAGACGATGAATAAACTTATTATTATCCGATGAGTTAACTCATCGAAAATTATTTTCTTTTCAGTTTTTTGCTACGCTTTAATTCATGAATAAGCAAGCATTGAAATTATTCTTGTAATAGTTCAGTATATTTACCTTATACTGTATATAAATTAAGTGAAAAAGTACTATAAATGTGTATACAATATTTATGAGACTAACTTTAGTGCAGTACATGCACAGGACTTTTCCGGTCTTCAACGGTATATATAGTAGCCGAGATATGAAAAGAAATGGAAGACTTTTTTTTTACTACTGTATCCCGAACAGTAAAATAAATCATCATGATAATAATAACTGTAATTCATTCGATAACTCTTCTGATAATAATTATGATATTAGATACCAGAGGTTTGAATAGGCTGGTTCGAGAAAAGTCATTGTAGCTCATGATTTTTTCTTACAGATTGATCCACCATTATTTGATGTATAAACAAAGTGTTTAGTAACATTTGACAATTTGTAAAACCTTCAAGTCTCTCGAATTCACCAATATTTTCTGATTCATTAGTTGGAAAACCAAAAACCTTTCCAATATAAAAATGCGTTTAATTTTTCATTTTTAATAACAGCATGCGTCGATAGTTGTTATTTCATAAGAAATTTGATCCGTTCGGATGTATACTCTTTAGTATGTGATGATGAATCAGCAATGGTACTTGAAGAAAAATTGTTAACAAAACTGATGATCGAAAAGGTTCAATAGAGGAATAGAATTAAGAAAAGTAATTAATTATGATATTGTAACTGTTGATCAATGAGAAGAACTAAACAAGAATATTTTGTTGGATAGAAAGATTTTTAAAGTGACAACCATATTATCTTTTGAAAATCTTATATTTTATTCAAGACTCGATTCAGTTCATTGAGACCTTTGTTAGATATTTATGTTACTATACTGATTGATTATACTTCACTCTAATTATTTATATTATTACTATTTTCGAAATGAAATTGAAAATATCACTGATAGAAACCTGCTATTGTCCCAGTCATAAAGTCAGTTAATAAGAAATCAAACTCGATAACCCTTTATAAAAGCAAAATTAGGTCCAGTTTGCATTACATAGGAAATACAGATACGAGCTGCATAAGACGGATTTGTATAAATTGGATATATCAGTATCTTTATATGCAACTTGTTATTAAATGTCGATCAGAACAGTCATATCAACCCTACGTAAACCATAATGTAGAAGTAAAATAAGAAATATTTTATACAATTTTGTGAAAAAACAAAAATTTATTTTAAAAAAATATGAATTTATTTATTATTCGGTGGAAATTTGCTTATTCGTCGTTTAAAATCTTGTTGTTTAGCAAAATCATTTTGATAATCTCGTGTTGAATAATTTGTTCGAACATGACTTATTTGTTTTTGAAGTCGTTCAATTTCATTTTTATGTTCTACTTCATCACGATGTCGTTTTTCAGTATTTAAACTAAATCAATCAAAACAAAAGAAAACTTATAAATTAAAAAATAAACAACAAAAGAAAAGGATACCTATGTGCAGAATACTTGTTATGAGTACTAACAAATGCTCCATTTTGTAACATTCTTGTACGAAGACGTGCATTTTCACGTTCAATCATAGTTAATTCATATTCTTTTATCTATTATTAGAAATATTAAAAAAACAAAACAAGAGAAAATTTTATTAAAATATACCTGTTTTTGTCTAGCACGTTCATAGCAATGCGGTCGAGAAGGTGGACTTGATTGATCTAATAAACCATGTGCATTTTTAATCTATTAATAATAATGAATAAATTTCAAGAAAAAAAAAGAGACAGCGAAAAATAAATTTTACATTATGTTTATGATCTTCTTGCTCTTGAAGAAACTTTTTATGTGCAAGATATTTATTAGCAACAGGAACTATGCTTGGATGAGAACGATACATATAATGTTCTTCACTCAGTCACTTGAAAAACAAATGATTGTTGAAAATAAATTTATATTGAAGGAAGAAAACAATAAGCGAAATTTCTTTTTTTTTTTCTACTTTATTGAAAATATGTTACGAACAACAGCACTCTAAAGTAGTACACGTGTTTGAGACAAATAGAAAAAGAAATAATAACTATTAAAATTTATTGTCTTGAAGGTTTCTTTTTTTTGTTTTGGATTGATGTTTAAAACTATTTACATGATGAGAGTTGCCACGGGGAATATTTTATTGAAAATAAAATGACTAATTGTTTTATTGAATGAAAATGAAAAAGAAACAAAATATTTATTTCTGGTTTAAAAAAATCGAATTGAAGTTTGAAAAATATTTAATACCACAGTAAGATTGATACAAATCATAAAAACACTTTCTACATCTATTTAATGAATATCTGAAAAGTTGGTCTTTTCAATATAATTAAAATGAAAGTAACAAAGTAAAATAAATGTTTGTATTTTTTTCGACGAATATACAACTTTATGTATTCAATCTAAAAATACATCAAGATTTATAGGCATATTTAAACATTAGAAATATGTTGATAAGCAGCATATGTAGAGGTGTCGTTGTATTTATTTTCTACATGCCTACTGTTTGATTTCTTTCTATTTTAATCAGTTAATTGCAAACAAGCTTTTTTATGATGCAAAAGAATGTTTTGTATGTATAATCAATTCGTTGGCATGTTGTCTTTAGTCAGAAGAAGTCATTTTCAATGACAAGAAGTCAGTTAGTTTAAATATTAATATATTATAGAAAAAGTAAATAAAATAAATATGTCAAAATTATCAACAGCCGTCCTATTAAGACAAGAGTTTATTATTCAAAATATAAGTTCAAAAGACTAACATTTTTTTAACAAAAATTTAGCAATGACACAATCGTTACATATATCTGTAACTGATTAAATCAATTTTTTTTTTAATCAACACTCNATAGTCAATATAATGACAATGATATAATTTTCCCACCATTTTTTGACAAATTTTTGAGCAATGAAACTTGTCCCCTCTTTTTTTCGATTAAAAAGGAGGTATTTAAAAAAAAGGAGAACGTCGTGCCCTGCATCCGGACACGCTCTTTCTAACAAAAAAAAATATTAATACATTGTATGGACCGTTACAGAGAAACTTGGGATGCCGTTTTCTCTATTTTTCGATCTTGTTTCGTCAATATCTCCCCCAAATGAAATGGTTTTGGGCTGAAAATTTTATCATAGACTTCCCTTAATGTCTCCAACATATCCTGTTAATTTCAGCTGATTCGAATGTTCCCAGGCCGAGGTCAATTTTTGAGGGGGGCGGGGCCTTAACTACACCCACACCCTCTTACTCAAACCACATGAATTCAATCTTTCGTTTCAACTCATCTCTAGAATATCCGTTGTCACTAGGAAAAACACATTAAAAAGATAGCGTTTCAACGCGTTTATAAAAACCGAATTTTTCAAAAAACACAGCAAAAGAAACGCGTTTTAGCGCGTTTGTATAAGAAGATTTCACTTTTTACTTATAAAACATATTTAAATACATGTAAAAAGAACTCGTTCGATTAATGCTTTTGATAGTGTTCGTTGGGGAGAAAAATGCGTTTCCTTATCACACGTTCAAACCTTGTTTTCAGTTAACGTTTTTAGTTGAAAAAACGGGTTGGAAATAAAAACGATGCGTTTCAATGCGTTGTGAATTGACAAGAATGCGTTTCAACCGGTTGAAAATAGAACAGGATGCGTTTAAACGGAGAAATAGAATTTTTGTGTACTTAAAAAGTGAGTACACTCGAGAATCGGTCAGTATGTCCGTCCGGCCGGCCGGCCGTTTACACGATAACTTTTGAAAGGAGAGTTCAATCGCGATGAAATTTTCTACACAGTTCAGTCTTAACAATGTCTCGGTCGAGTTCGAAGATGAGAAGGATCCGTCAAGAAATGGCTGAGTTATCGAAACACTTGTCATTATTGGTCGGACCATCCCTGAGGGGCGATACAGGGATTTTTTCAAAAAAATATTTTCCTCAGAATTATTCACAACATATATAAATCGACTCAGTTTTTAACGCTGATTCCGAATTTGATATTAGTTTTGAACCAAATCGTAGCTTTTTAACAGAACATCGCCTGAAAAAGGTGTCAAAATGCACAAAAAACTACATGCAGAAAGCAAATTGCCTAGATATGTCTCAGTTGATAAAAAATAAAGTGAATATACCTCTTCACTTTTTGAAGTACACATAACACTCGGATTTAAATCCGGTGTTTTCGCATTTATTTTTATTTGAATGACAAATAATAAAAAGACACTCACCTCAAATAGTGTTTTGTGGTCGTAAAAAAAAATTTCAGCTCGATTGAATATAACATCTCGAAGAAATGAAAGGCGAAAACTGAGCCCGTTATGATCCTACTATCTCATAGAAAACATAATTTGAAATGATCACTTTTGTTCGTCTTGTCAAGATCTATCTGACATAAAAGTTTCGAATTTTTCTGACTAGCCATTCTTCAGAAACCCTGGAAAAAGAGCCGGGGTATCTTTGAAGAAAAAAATGAAAATGCATTTGTTTTTAGTTATCGTTGGATAAAACATCAGTTAATATTGGAACAACAGTTGTTGATGAACGTCTTCATCAAAGTATAACACTTCGTAATGATGGTGGTTTAGGTACAAATTATCGTCTGGTTAAAACAAATTTATTAGGTACTGAACAAAATAAAACTCAAGTTGTTAATAATCATAAAGAAGAAATAAAAAGTGACGAACGAAAATCATCATTAGAAAAAGAAAAATCAACCGTATCAGGTTCGATTATAAATAATTTATAGAAATTATTTTAAGAAAACGAAAATTTCTTGTTTTTAGATGTAACAGATATAGCTAATAAAGCATATGTTGAAGTTTTTACAATAAAAGCTGAGGAACGCGGTTTTCTTGCATCACATTCCTCTATTTCATTTACAATTGAATTTAGTGCTCCTGTAGCTGGAACGTTTCATGAAGAATATACTCTTGTATTTGATCAAAATATTCCTGAAGTAAAGTATTATAAAGAGCACATGAAAATTTATTTATTATAATTTGTTTTTTTTAGTTACATTTTTCTGTTAATGCTCAATCACTTGATGTACCTGTTTGGATAGAAAATTCTTCGATGGATTTTAAAATTTGCATGTTTGATCGTTTATATCAAGATGCACTTATTCTACATAATCGAAGTTCAGCTGCACTTCGTGTTTCGGTTGATATTCAACCACGTATATTACAAAATCATATTGAAATTGTTCCACGTACAGCTTATATTCAAGCAAAATCAAGTTTTAGTTTACAAGTTAAATTAACTGCACATCCATCAATAATTGATGATAGTTTATCAAATGAAATATTTGATTCACAATTAAATACATTAATTATTCCACTTGAAGTTAAAGTAGCTGATCAAATTCGAACTGTACCATTTAGTATAAGTGCGATATTAACAACAAGTGATTTACAATTTGATGTTGAAAATATTGATTTTGGATGTTGTACAACAAGTGAAAGTGTTTTAACTAAAATTCAATTAAAAAATAATTCACTATTAGCACAACCATTTGGATTTGTTAATTTACCTGATGTAAGTTTTTGTTTTTTTTTTGAAAAAAAAAAAGACAAATATCGATAAAAAGTTATGATTTGATGAAGTATACACATAAGAATTTGTTAATCGAAATGTACGATAACAAGTAGAAGTATTACTTTCTTGATCCATTCCTAGGAACATATAACAGTCTCATATAAAAAAAATAGACGAAATTGTTAGAACATCACGGAATGTATTTAAAAACAGAATGCTAGAAAACGTAATTGGGAATGTGTCTGCGTTTCTTGAAAACAGAATGTTCACGAACGAAAACTCTGACACGCCTAAAATCAAGCTTCGGTTTATTTTGATGCTTGGCAAAATATTTTATAGTTTTTATTTTGGCAATGTATTCAATAAATTTTTGTTTTCTCTTCGATAGAATATTTTGAAATATAATTATGCTACATAGATAGTCTGGTCTTCATTTCGACGATAGACACATGTAATACAATATAATATTAAATTGATTGTTTATATATCTTGATTACAAACGATACCGAAATTATTCTAAGAGTCGGATGTTATATTACGCTATACTTAAGTAGACAATGACGATCTATTTCCGACCTCAAACTATATATGTTTAGTTAACAAGGAAGGACTCTCAAGTTTGAACTAGTACTTCATCCATTAGTAGATCAGAATTAATCCCCATGCGCTGTTCTTCCCAAATTATGTACGATTTTACTCAACTTCTTTTTAATCTGTTGATAAGGTAGTATTTGTAAAAAAAAATCGAATTACAAAATATCAGCTGGAAAAGATTTGTTGTTCTGAAGATATTGAATGTTAAAAAACTGGACTGTCTTATCCTTCCTTGTGACACATGACTGTTTTTAGATATTCAATATATCAAGATGAACATACTCCTTTAAGCTGAAATTTTCAGAACATTTTAAGTTTTACGAGACTTACCTATGGACGAAACTTCAGGTTCAAATTTCATAATTCGATTTATTTACCAATACCTTACCCAAAGATAAAAAAAAATCAGTAATATCTTGGAAAGGACATCGCATGAAGATGAACATTTATAGGCTTCTACTCTTCTCGTTGGGGTCTCAGTCAAGAAATAACTGAATATTCGAGATGTTAATTAAACAATTTTTTTATTCTGTAGTACATTCAAGTGCAACCAAATGATGGTTTTGGTACCTTATTACCTGAAGAAACTATTGATTTACATGTTTTATTTAGTCCAACAGCAACAAAAGAATATCGATGCACACTTATATGTAAATCACTTGTTAATCGGTAAGATCTTTTATTATTATTATTTATTATTTATAAATTAATTTTATTTCAAGTGAATTTACAATTGAATGTCAAGGTGTTGGTGTTTTACCACCACTCTCTTTATCATCGACAGTTATTCATTTTCCAGCTACACCTATTAACGATCAATCAATTGTTAGTTTTTATGTTGAAAATCGACATTTAGATAAAAATCATTTTAAACATCCAGTACCACGTATTGGAAACGGTAAATTAATCAATCATATGAAAAATAATAGATTCAACTTTATTATAGCTGTTAGCATAGGGGACGAAATGTTTTGATGTTAGCAAAACATTGAGAAAGATCAGAAAAAAATTCACCATTTGTATAAAAAACATGCGAACGTTTATGTTTGTTGAAATACGATCTTTGAAAGAAGAGATTCTAATCTACTTTACCGAAACAAAAGTTTAATAGAGAAGCAGAAATTTTTCAAAAACAAAAAAAATCTATTGCAATGTGTGCTTCGTCATTGTTGAAAATATTTAATCCTACGAAACGTGAATCTAAAATGCTTATGTCTAATAGACTTGCACTAAACACGAACGTTCGAGTTCGATGCATGCTTAATATCTGTTGAATAAATATTTATTACTTATATAATAAAATAGGCAAATCTTTTTTTCTCTATTAGAAAATAATTTGATCGTTTATTTAGGTGAATTTGCTCCAATTTGTCCAACATCATTTCAATTTGATATTCCAGCAAATGCACCAATTACAATTTCGCCTCTTGTTGGTACTGTTGAACCAGGAAAAGTTAGTATTGTATATAAATTTTTCTTTGATTTCATTATGAAATGTTGCTTTTTTTTTTACAAAATCTAGAGACAAAAAATAACAGTACGATTAGCACCTAAATTAGATACTGAACAAATTCGTACTGAATCAATTCGTATAAGAGAAGCCGAATTAAAACGACAATTAGAATCGAAAGAAAAAGAATCATCACATCGTGGCGAAGTAAATAGAAATTTCTTTTGATTTATATTATAAATAAAAAAACAAAGTTATTTAATTATAGTCAAGAGCTAGACCTACAGGAACAGCCGCTTCAGTAAGTCGAAGACTTGACACTCATGGAACTATGAATACTGAAATTCGTCTTCCTGCTGCTGCAGAACAGTTCGTAAAAATTATCAAAAATTGTTTTCTTTTTTTTTTCTTAATAATAATTTTTTTAAATAAATAAAATCTTTAGATCAACTGTTTGGTCTATAGCTCAATTATCTTTATTAAAATCATTTCCATCATCACTTTCTTCGTTTATTATACCATGTTATACTGCATCGGGTATATGTCAAAAACCTGGTACATTAAGTTATGAGTAAGAATAATATTTATTTTCAATTTATTCAATTTATTTATTAAATAAATAGTGTTGCAAATACATTATTTATTCAAATACATTGTCCTATTGTAAAACCAGAAATGATTGTTATATCTGATTATGGACAAACAACAATTGATTTTGGTTCAGCATCAATTGGACAAGAATTATCACGTACAATTCTTATACAAAATATAAGTAATAAATCAATACAAGTAAGTTACATCAAAAAAATATAGATTTAAATTCTTTCAAATAAATATTAAACAATTTATTATAGTTACATAGTACTTTATTAAATATTAGTGGACCATTTCGATTAATAAATGCTTTACGACGAGTTGAACCAGGTGATACAACACCAATTAAATTAGCATTTACACCAAATGCAACAATTGAGGTTTTATTTTAATTTAATAAAATTAATATTTTATTTATTTATTTATTAATTTTCTAAATAGTTTTTGGAAACATTGGTATTAACTAGTGAAAGTTCAAAATTAACATTATGTTTAAAAGGTAAATTAAATTTAGAAGATTTAATTATTTTGTAAATATATATGTGTACAAATAATTAGGTACTGGTCTTAAACCTAATGTTCAATTATCATTTGATACAAGCAATCCATTTTCAATGGGATGTGTTCTAGCTAAAGATCGTACTGAGAAAACCTTTCAAGTAAGATTTTATTAAAAAGAAAATTCTAATTATTGTGTACATTATAATATATAGTAAAATTTTTCTTAGATAAACATTGTCAGAACTTTTGACATGTGTTAACTATTGAAACATGTTGATCTATAAGAGATGTCATATATTGTGAAACACAATCGAAATAGGGTGATAATTTGCATATACCTACCTTCCACGCATCACATACATTGTTATGCGATTACAGACTTCATATATCGGGTGACTAATAATGAATGACTGTACTTTGAATTTCTTTTTTAATCACTTAATACTCTTCATTAAACAAGCAAATTATACGAAAAGATGCAGCGTGAAAAGCTCTACAATCTACCAAGTAAAGCTTTTCACGTTGCATCTTTTGATATATTTTATTTTCTTGATAAAACCGATTTTGTAATTAAAATATGAAATACAAAGTGCCATTATTGCTCACTCGGTAAATAATGCCTTGCTATAATTTATAAGTTACTTCTTTATTCTAGTTCTGTTAGATTAAAGCCTCTCCCAAAAAGATTGGTCATGACTCAGATATATTCAAATCACATGAAATTTTCAAGCCTATATCATAATGTTTTCGGAAGATATTCAACAAATAAGCATCAAGAATAGTTCATGTGCCAATCCAAAATTCTCTGTAGGTCTTGATTGTACAAATTTAATTTTATTCTTGTTAAAAAGAATATGTCACGATACAAGACATGACAGAGTTCTATTTTTAAAATTCTTACGTTTTAAGCGGAGAAAAGTTCAATGTCTCACACAATGGTATTCTAATTATAAAAGTACTCTATTATTTAATATTAACAAAGCTTAATTTAAATAAAAAACGAGTTCTGTCATGCTCTGTATCTAAATATAGTCTTTCAAACAAAAGAAAAATGCGATTAGCTACAATGAAGCTCCTTCGAAGAGACTTAGAGTAAAAGGATGATGAAGAAATGTGTCCCGAAACAATGGGTGACCCATAATAAATAACCACATTTTATAACGCATATGTTAATCTTTGAATGCGTCTTCTACGAAAATACACAATGTGCCACAAGATACAGCAGAAAAAAACTGCACAATCTCGAACGTAAAATTTATTGTAATAGTGTATACTTTTGTGTAATTGCATTTCACACGTAATAATTCGTAAAACTGAAATCAGGATTATTAGGTGAGCATCTGTGATCGTCTATGAAATACTAAAATTTTCTTCAGACGATAGCAAGAATTTCTAATGTGTATGTGACGTTGTGTTGTCTTATTGATAGAGGAAATTGTCATCTAGTAGCTGTTTAATTTCAGATTGCGCTTTTGAAAGAACAACTTTAATATAATTTTCATGTGATAATTGTTTTTCAAATTAAAACATAATATAAGACGTAAAGACTATTTTTACACAAACGTAACTACAACATGAATCTTTTGGTTTATCTCTCGTTGTTCATCTGCTTCTTGTCAATTAGCAGTATAAATACGTATATTCTGAAAAACAATTTTTAAGAAGAATAAATAAGAAAGTTTTACTTTGTTTTATAAAATCTTGTATTATTGTTTTTTTTTCAATATACATGAAGGTCCATAAGAAAATTATCTCCTTACGAAATATAATTCTTTAACTCGTAACATTGATTTTTTTTTTAATCAATTTCTTTATTATAAATAGAGCTGAAAAAAAACACTACTGAATAAAAGTATCTTTCTTTTGAAAACATTCTACTGTTAGTTGAAATAAAAAAGAAATTCATAAAATATGAAATCTATTTCAGAATGACATTGTTTGTTCTATTTTTTTTTTAAATCTTTTGTCAAAACTCAAGTATCAAAACAGTATAAGAACTTAAATATCTGATGGTATATTTTTAGATGTTCACCAGTCATGTACACATACAAATTATTGAGAATTATTGTCAGTTTGATAGTTCTATTAAAATATCCATCAATAGCAGGATTGATGATTTTTGCAGCAAGCAATACATCATATTAATTGGATTTTTTCGTCACTTGAATTAATTTTAACTACGATCGATTATACCCTAGAGATAAAGAGTGTCAATGCCTATAACAGTATAATAGAGAAACACGTAATAACAATCAGCACTAAAATAATTGTATGAGAATCAAAAGAAAACTTTGAAAAACTATCGCTTTCAATTGAAATATTTTCCATCATGAGTATATTATTAGTTCTACAACTACAGCAAAATTACAGCTAATAGCCACTTTTAGAGAGAAATCTCTTGGTTACTTTATGGTGAAGATATAATGTTTCAGCAAAGATTTTCTATTTTATGAATTTATTTATATTTGTCGTTAGTTATGTTGCAATATTTTTAAAATAAAAATATTTCTAACGAGTAGATTTTTTTGGGATCATTTTGCAAGTGAATTTGATGAACGTTGCTTGACAATTTATAAAACTTTGTTACGTTAAATCTTTTGATTTTTTGTTCAATAGTTTGATTTTGATAATCATTAAAAATATTCTTTTTTTCGTTTTCAAATATATTCGATTTTTTCAGCTAATTCGAGTTGTAATAAATCACTATCATCAAAAAAAGGTGCACGTGTATTCATTTAAAATATGTTAAAATAATAATCACGAATGTAAAAATAATGTTCAAGTTCAGAATAGAGAAATGTTCATCTATGAAAGATGCATTTTTAGCAAATAATGATTTCGTAAGACTAATGTCTTATTCAAAATAGAAGATTTTCACACTAATAGAAATTATACTGAGGAAATCAATTATAGCTAAATAAATGATTTTCTCAATTATCAACAATAATTTATCTAAGAATATTGAAAAATAATGATCATAATAAATAAATATATTGTTTGTTTTTATTATTATTATTCATCCATGTTTTGATTCAAGAATTAAGAAAAATATTATTTGATGTTCGATCACATGTTTCTGTATAAATGTTTGATAATAGCACATGAGGATGAGTCATATGCCTATTTCACCTGATATATTTATTATTGTTGAATATCCTGACTCAATATTGCAATATCACTATCGTCAATCTATACTATGCTATAGGAATGTGTATTTAACATAAATTAAAACAAATATCTACCTTTTTGTATCGATATGTCTACATTCGTTTGATTATAATGACGAAGAATAAAATGACAGCTGCTTATTCTACACTTACTTTTTTATTATTACTTACCGAGTTGTTTTTTTGTTTTTTGTTTTGTTTGTTTCGATTTTTTTCTATTTTCATCATCTTCAAGTCTCATTTCGTAAATACTAATTTTCAATATTGATTTTCTTCGAATTTGAATAACTTATGTACATCATTTATATAAAAATAATCTTATCAATAATCATATACTTCATGGACCAATTCTATTTACATTTGAGTCTATTTAATAGATTCGAAAATATGATTAGTAATAATTAATATTAACTGAAAAGAAGAACCTTGGCTGTACAATTCAACAGAATAACTATTGAAAAGATTCAATTCACAGTGAGAATAATTACAATATTCTTTACTGTTATGTTTGTCCTACCTATTTATGAGGATGAAAAAAAAAATTTGAAAAAAGAAAAATCCATGAAAGAAGAGTATGGTTGTTTCAGAAAAGATCAGTTTTTCGTACGAAATTTTTATGACGCATAAGCAGTTTAATCTCATTATAAATTATTTTTCAAGTCTCTAAGATTATCTTGAAAAAGAGAAATAGATAAAAGTTTGTTACATAGAATTCTTCGATAAATTGTAAAAAAAAAAGTTATTCTTTACGTTATAAAGAATAAAAATACTACCTATTGTTTTTCATATCTCATTACATTTTCATATGAATTCAAGTGTTTACATAGAATGTGAAAAAAAGTATCTATTATCGGTATATACTGTAAATGTACCCATCGCAATGTACTTTCACGTGTATCAAGATACTTTTTATTCTTTACTAACAATATGAATCTTTAAAATAAACTCATTTTTATATCGAAGAGGGATTTTTTTTTTTGCAATTAATCTTTTTCTACTCTCTTCATATTGATTGCTATACGTTTCCCGAATTTGAACACGATAATGAATTTTATTTTACCTTCATTAATTTTACTTTTAATCATTTATTTATTTCTTTGTCATTATTTTCGTTTTCATCGTCTTAAACATATTTTAAAAAAATATAATAATGTTCATCTTGATTATCATCAAGCACAAGAAATTTTTATTTTTACATTTGCATTCGATATGCCTTATATATCGGAAACATCTACTTCATTTGCCCTCTTTAAAACATATGGTATTCCAACTATTTCACGATTACTTGTTCAAACTAATCAATTAACTAGATTAGATACTGTTGGTCGTCGAGCTGAAGATACAGGTGTACTTATCGGAGAATTTTCTATCCATGATCTTGATTCTCATCGAGCTCGAATGGCTATTGCACGTATGAATTATTTACATAGTTTATATAAAAAGCACATAAGCAATGATGATATGCTTTATACGTTAAGTTTATTTATAATTGAACCTACTCGATGGGCAAAAAAATATGAATGGAGACCTTCAGTATCATTAGAAGAAGAAGCTCGATTTATTTTTTGGAAAACAATTGGTGAACGAATGAATATTGAAAATATTCCATTAACATATAAAGAAATTGAAAAATGGTCTGATGATTATGAATTGAAACATATGGTCTATTCAAAAGATAATCAAATTTGTGGAGAAGCTACATTAAACCTAATGCTTTCATCGTATCCTGATTGGATGCAAAATTTTATTCGTCAAGTTTTAATATCACTAATCGATGAACGTCTTCGTTTATCGATGGGCTTTGAACAAGCACCATTTTGGATAAAACGTTTGACTATAATTATACTTAATATACGAGCATTTTTTATTCGTCATTGTATGCTTCCACGTATTTATCCATATGATCATGGTCAAGGTCCGACAACATGTCCAATGAATAAATATGGAAGATATCAACGAACAAGTTGGTCAATGGAACCATGGTATGTGAAAGAAACATGGTTTTATCAAATGTTACCATTTTTTAAACTGCGACCAGGTCCAATGTATAAAAGTCAAGGATTTAAAGTTGAAGAACTTGGACCTGAACAATTTAGTGGTAAAGGTATTGAAGAAATGGAAAAAGACGCTGAAAATATGAAACAAAAAAGCAATTTTTCAAGTTGAATCATGAATTATTTATTTATCGGATTCTTCATTATATTGCGAATGTTCATTTCCTTGATGATTGAATTTTAAAAAAGAACTTTAACTTTCATTTTTATTTAGATGTTGATTATAACTGGAATAAATATATCTATCAATTAGAATATAGATACTATAAATTTAGATTCAGGAGTTGATAAGAGATTTGTTTTTTTTTTCAAGAAATCATCAATGAAATATTTTCATCATTGATTATATTTAGAAATATCGTTTAATGAAATAGAACTATTTCAATTGTTATTTATTTTGTTTTGTTTCTAAATAGATTATCAATCATTCGGAAACATCAGTAACATTTCGAGTTGATTTAGCAAGTCAACATATTAAGAATCGAAAAGAACAAGACAATAAAAATGTTTGGGGTACTATGTTTGATGCTAATAAACATCTTATAGGTAAATTATAATGATGAATTCTTTCTTTATTCATCTACATATTTATATATATATATATATATATATTGTTTTTTTTTTCAGGTCCACAAAATTTAAGTGGTCGATCAGTATTTGATATAGCTCCACTCGATGGAGTAATACCAGCTGGTGGTAAAAAACCATTAACAGTAATATTTAATCCTGATCATGATTCTGATTTCTTTTCGGATCTCGTTCGCATTACTATTTCTGAACAGGTTTGATTTACAAAAAACGAAAAAAATTCTTAAACAAAAATAAATAAAACTATTTTTATAGCCTGTTAAACTTGAATTTCGTTTACGAGGTACTGGTCGTCAAAATACTGTGTATATACGACCATTAGATAATGGTAATATTGTACAAAAATGTCTTTTACCAAATGTAAATGATGCATTAACTATGCAAATGCAAACAATAGGTTAGAAGAAATTTTGAGAAAAATTTTTACTTTTAATAAAATTTATTGACGATATTTTTAGATCCTAATGAAAAAGGAATACCAAATAATATTCTTGTTTTACTTTGTGCACAATTTATTAATGGAAAATATATACCTGCTCAACGTGAATTAATTATCGGTTGTGCATCAGTATCAAGTGGACCTAAAAAAGTATTTCAAAAATATATTTTATATGAATAAACATTTTGAGTTTTTTTAGAATGGTGATTATACATTCGATAATTTAAAAGATATTAATACTGAAGGTTTTAATGTCGATGTTCCAAAAGTAAATAATAAAATATAATTAGATAATTATTCTCTTGATATACAAGCAGTTTTAGACAAAAGCATCTGCCTCCTATGAAGTGCTATTATTCTTTTATTAAATTGAACTGATTTATTGAGTACACGCGTACGACAAGTTCACATTTATTGGAATTATGATTCACAAATCCTTTTTTCTCTGTGAAAAACATATTTAGTAGAAATATATATCAAAAAAAGCTTTTTTTTTTCATTTTATTATTCAACAACCTACAACGACTTTTTTTTTGTGGCACTAAAATCAGTTCCATAGGTCGACTGTATTATCACTGAGATCCTTGACATATAGTCAAGGAGATATATTCAACTGGTGGGCAGCATTCGAAGCTACGACTAGGTCCTCATGAGACTAAGAAAATTTTAAAAGGAATTCGGTCCATGGTCTACTGTTGAATAGTTATGATCGTTTTATTGAAACTTTTACTGAGGGCAAGTGATTTCTGAAGTTTCGAACTAAAATTATATCTATAGATACGTTGGATAGTCCTAAAAGTTTTAAAGAAAACGAACATGTCTTTCATGAAATATTCAATATCTAAAAACACGGTAGTTTACTATAGGTGGATAGAGTAATTGAGTCTACTTGGAAATTGAATGTCTTGAGAAGGCCATATTCATTTTCGTTGAGCCTTTTAGGACTATCAAATATATTTATAGACATAATTTCAGTTTGAAACTTTTTGTTTCGAATTTATTGAAAACGATTTACTCTCAGTATAAATCTCATAAAAACTGTCACAGCTGTTCAATAGTAGGAAATTGGTTTGAATCCATTTTAGGTTCTTTTTACTCTCACCAAGACATCCTTACCGCCTTCATGCGAAGTCGAACGACGTCCGCCGATTGAATATGTTCGCTCGTTAATAATAAGAACGTCCTGAAATTGCAAACCAATGTCGCAATGCTAATTCGACTTTATTCAATTCTTCAGTTCTAAAACTTTCACAAGCAGATGTTCTCTATTAAAATTTTCCAATGAATTAGTGAAAATTATCATGCAAAAAAATTCATCTTGCTAATTTCAAACAAATTTTGAACTAGAGACAACTACGACAGTGACTTTTAGAATGAGAAGTTAGACAAAAATATTTATGCTAACATGATTGAGATTAGGTAATCACAAGAGAACAATGATACTAATACATACAAATTGATAGAGGGCGAATTGATTATTACAAACAAGATTTCTTATCGGACGCGTGCATCCAAAATATCAGCTAAATATCATAAAGAATAGTAGCACTTCATGAGCGGCAGATTCTTCTGTCCAAGAATATGTATTTATTTATTTTTTTACACTATTTTCAGAGTTCTGTTGAAATGGGTACAGAAAAAAGCGTGAAAATCACATGGACACCATCAGCTAATTTTGATGTAGGTCTTTACTGTTCTTTTTTTTTTTCATTAAAAAATTTTGAATATTTTTATTTTCTCTAGCCAAATGAAACATGTCGAGCAACAATTAATGTAACAACAAAAGGTGATGTTATACGAATATGGCGTGTTATTTTAATTGGTTATGTCGAAATAATTTCATCATCTGATAAACGATCATCACGTACTTCAAAAAATCGTCGTACAATTACAAATGATACTCGTTCACATGCATCATTTGGTGGTACTAGTCAACGAATAGGAAAACAAGTATCGACACAAGAAAATACTTCTAATACATTGACAACATAATTCATAGAAAATGAAACAGATTCGCTTCTTTTTTTTTTTACTATTTATAATGAATAAAATTAAATATAAAAAACAAATAAGAAATGCTCAAAATAGAAAAACTATGATTTCATTATATTCTATTGATAATTAACACAAATAGAATAATATTTTATTCCTAAAAGATAAAAATAACATGTAATGCTCTGAAGTACTGCTTACAAAAAGGATCTATAAAACATAAGAAGAAAGAACAGAAAGATCATTAAGAAAAAGAAAAAAACACGACAATATAATATTAATCATGTTTCCATTAAAACATGTTTGCGTAAAGTATAGACGAATAACGACTAAGAACTGAATGCTCATCTTAAAGCTATAGAAGAAGGAAGGAAAAAAGGAACTAAGCAAGGAAATTTAAGAGAATAGAAGATGAGTACTTGACCTATAAATTAATGTCGTCGTTTATTATCAACAAATTCTAATTATATTTCTAACAGAGATTTATGTTTCGTTTTCAGCTTCTTCACTAAAATATATCTCTTAGTCTTTTTTTTTAATTTCGATAGACAGTGAATTATCATTGAAATATCTGATTTATAAACGAATACAATTCATGAGCTACTATTCTTAGGCATCGATGAAATAATCTTAGAGTTGTGCTAAACTTTTACCGCAGTACTTCTGATTGTGTATGCGGAATAAAAGCCAAACAAAAAAAATAGATTTAAATTACTTCTCTAAGTTTATCCTAAGTCGTTCATATACGAGACATATCGTTCATTAATACTGCTCATGACGGTAGATTAATTTATGTAAAATATGTAGTAAACCGATTTACAGATGTTGATCGATTGTTTTCACTTTCTCGCATTATCCAAAACGTTTATGGCACGATATAAGTCATCCACAAATATATGAGTGAAGAAAGCTTCTTTAAATTGTACAATATCAGAATAAATTACAATAAATAAATATGAAATTAGACGATTTTCTTGAAGTAATCTAATTGATTTAGAAAATTCTTTAATGAGTATAAATAAAATAACACGAGAAAAAAAGAGAAACATTTGTATAACGAATTTGTAAATCTTTTTCATAATTCATTCAATAAGTTATATAAATCGATTGAAATTTTAATGTTAAGCTAATAGAAGAGATATATCACAGGCTACCTTTTTGATAAATTAATTAAGTATCGTTTTAAACGATTTATTTGATGAATCAATACAAAAATTACAATTGTGTGTGTTTCTCTTTTTTCTCAGGTCATTTTATGAATATATAACAAAATTAAATTAAATATAGCTGAAAAGGAAAGAAAATTTCTTATCAGTTGATAATATCTGTCTACATTCATATGAAAAGTAAATGCGAATTTTATTTCGTACAAGTGCTTCACTTTTCAGTTGCATCATTTTCATTTATAACCTCTGACAAAACTAAATCGTATATACGATTTCAACCGAGCAAACAAAAAAAACAACCCTTTTTTCAGTACTCTTCTATCAAAGTCGATATTCATTCTACATCACATATTACATCTTCGATAATATTTCTTAATTTTATTCATTATTTATTTATCCACTTAAAATATTAAAATTATATTATAAACAAAATTTCGATTAATAACATCTTGATCATAACTTTTTTAATTGTATGTCAATATTTAACTGTTTGTTCAACATTCGATTTCTTACAATATATCAAGTGTCTTATTAGTAGAAGATTGTTTCGAATTAATAGCATTCGTATATAAATTATCCCTACAGCATATTAAACATCATATGCAAATATTACTCAAGCAAAAATAGTAGAAACTATCAATCGAACAAAGAAAAAAAGAAATACAATTTTATCTGTCATTAATTGATATCAATAGTTTTTTTTTTATTTGAAATTTAATGTTTCTATACGTTCATCATATTCAAAAAGAAAATAATTGAACAATGATAAAAATCATAATTATGAATTAAAAGATCTTTTGTTTTTCTTGTCAGACAATACATTAAATATGTAGAAGTTTTATTTATAATATATATTTATGTATATAGGCTTACACGTTACGTATACTAATAGATAAATAATAGCAAATTGTTTTTAAATAAGCCATTGATTGAAAAACAAAATATTCTTTTGTCATTATTCTCCTTGTTCTTCTTCATCTTCTTCTTGTCCACCTTCTTCTTCTTCTTCTTCTTCTTCTTCCTTATTTCCAGCTTCATTATTACCACCATGATCTTCACCATCAGCATTTGCATCATTGCCATCATTTGGTATTGTATTTGAATCTGGTGGAGCAACAGGTTGTTCACTATTATTACCACCATCTTGTGCTACTATCCATAAAGTTTTATCATCTTTATTTGTTTGATTTTGTAGAGTAAATCCATTTTGACGAAGAATATCAAGAATACGTTGAGAATTTTCTTGACAAAGAACACCTTGTTCATGATCAGATAATAAATCATTTGTAAGATTTTCTTGTAAAATACGAATCTATGAGATAAAAAGAAAATTATTTAATTATTTTGACTATTTAGTATATAAATCAACAATAAAACCAAAAAAGAAAAATATTTCTTTAACGAAATATTCAATTTAACACATTTCCATATATATCGTTACTAAGCACATCATGAATATTATCCAGGGCAATATGATTATTAAATATAAAAATCTCATGAGAAATATTTTCATTATTTAGTTACATTACAATATATATATATGAAATAATAGACGAACTAACTCATGGTTTTTTTTGTTTCTATTCTAGAATTTTCTCATTGGCTAGAATATAAAACTCGGAAAAGTCTTGAGATCTAACACTTCAAACACGTCTTTTTTTTTAAATAAAATATAAAATACATACTAACAGATGTTAGCAAAGCAATAAATCTTATTATCTTTTTTTGTTCGTATATTGGTAATTTAAATTCTAGTAAAAATATTCATGTGCCAATTGTTTATTTTACTTACAATTTCTGGTGGAATCTTATAATTTTCAACACCAGTCGAATGTATAAGTGTTGGACCACTTTCTATTTTATCCGAATCACATGATAGAGTCAATTGAAGTGCCATTATTTATGTCGATACTTTCAAAGTTCTTATTACCAGAAAATAAAAACTTCTATCTTGCGTTTTTGTCTTGTTTCGATAGAATGATATATAAAGCAAAATCTATATATTTCTCTTTCTTCCGACGAGCTCACGCGTAGAGAGAAAAAAAAACTAGGTCATTATGACACATCAAAAGCTCGCACTACAAAAAAAAGACTGAGCATTAAAGCAAGCATCTAAAAAAAGACGAAGAAGGAAAAGCAGAAAAGGAAATATAGAATAAGGCAACATCATAAAAAATAAAAACAATTGAACAAAAAAAAAAAAAAAAGAAGAAAACTGGACGGATAGAAGAAGAATAAAAAATAAGACATTCACAAAACAAAATTGAAAAAGAAAATAATTATTAATTATTGTCATCATCATCATTATTATAATTCTTTCGAGCATTTGTCGAAGGTAGAAGACGAAATGCATCTTAAAATGAAAAAATATTTTATTTTTGAAAAAAAGAAAATTATATAAAAAAAAAAAGTTTCGAAACATACTTTCATAATCACCATTTGGTAGCTGATCATCATCATCATCATTATTATTCTCTCTATGATTATAATGATTTGATGCAATTGGTTTTTCTTTTCTTGTTGATAATGATGTTGATGAATAAGATGCTATTGAAAAAAAAAAGATTTTATTTATATCAATAAAACATTTCTATTCTACATACAATCAGGTGATAAACTACGATCTGTTGTTGAATTTGATGAAACTAATGAACCACCTTTTTCTAAACGTTCACATAATGTTTGAAGACGTTTTTTTAATTTATTTATATCAATATTTGCTGTTGAATTTCCTATTGCATTCGGTAATGAACCTATATCAGTGCTTTTAGATCGTGAAAGAACAGTACGTAATGCATAATTAACTGCTAGATCAACAGTTTCTTCCCAACCCTAAGTGAATAAAACCAACAAGAACAAATTAAACATTATTATAAAAACAAGGAAACTAATTTTTTTGAACATGAATATTTCTCACGGGAAATTATGGATATTATATTCGTTAAATAAATGAATGATAAATTTCAAACTTAATACAATTATCATATTTTCTGATATATATATATATTTCATGTATAGAAGTCTTAGAATAAAAATAATTTTATCAAATAGGAAATATAATCATCAAACTAAGAATTGCAAGTCGAATTTTGACAAAGAAATAAACCTGATGTAGATTATATTAAAGTTACTTGTAATGCTTTTGTAAAACTGAGACTATTGTAAATTAACAATAAGTTTGAAAGACTTTATGTTTAGTTTATTAGAGAAAATTTGCTAAATTCTATGAATGGTTGTGTTTCGAATTATGACTTGATATGTTTTATTGAAGGTATATCAAGTGAAAATTTCGTCGTTAATAAATTAATAAAAAATGATTGAAAATATAATTGATGATAAACATTATGAAAATTTATGTTTAGGTATATTCTATGAAATAAAATTTCAAAGATCATGCTATCATATTATAGAAGAACAAAACAATAAGTTTTCTTGAATTTTTCGAATAGATCTTTACATTTAGTTTTCCATTATATATTCAATATTCAAAAATGAAAATTATTCTGATAGATGTTATTTTGTGAGTATAATATATTTCAATTTCTGAAAAATACTTCGAATTTCTTTATTAAATTAATACAAATTGCAAATAAAAAAAAACAGCTACTATGCTAATGTAGACAAATTTTACTTTAATCGTAACTTATGACATGTATATATATAGCTAGAAGGTGTTATGAACGATAATTAGACAGAAGTATTTTGTATTTTTAGTTTTTCAAACTCCTTAAAATAAAACTTCATTTTTATCAGAGTTATTAAAATTAAAATAAATACATAGAAGAATAGCTTGAAGTTTGATATTTCAAAAAACAAAAATAATATGAATTTTTA